CCAAACAACACCTGAGCTCTACCTGCAAAACAATTTTTTACACAAAATTAGTCAAGACAAAAACTGCACCCTTCACCAACCCATTTCACCTTACACATTATTATAATGACCACCTTCCATACAAAGAACTGCTTGCAAGGCCAAAAAAATTTAACAGTTATAGTTATTTTGATTTGGAAGTACAACACACACACACAAAAAAAATATGTGGATGATTATCATACGTGGGGAATGACCTTTTATAACAATAATAATAAAATAATTTACAGACAAAACTGCAGAGACAGCATGTATTATCACATAATTTTACCCCAAAATGGTCTCCCATCAAGCTTCATCATCAGTCGCAAAGCATGTGAAGACAGCTGGTGCAGCCTTTGTTCCCTTACGATTAACTCCACAACAGAACTCAAATTCACAGAGAAACCTTGTATAGGAGGAGCCACCTTCTTAACCCCCATATACTCCTTACAAGCCCCTTCTTCTTAGCTGCCTTGATCTGGTTTAAGTTGAGGAGGAGAGGCGTGTGAGAGGATTTCTAAGAAAATAATAGAAAGCAAGGTGATAAAAAGCAAAGATTAAACTTTTTAATCTAGGTTGATTCTTTGTTTCCTTTGTCTCCTACTAGTCTTAGGAAACAAAGGAAACAGAGAATCAACCTCTGTAGGTTAAAAAATCTTCCCTTGAACATAATTTTGACCTGTAACAATAACATTGCTACAGTCAGCAAGGGTCGTTGTGACCATTTTATGAGAAACTTTTATCACTTTGCCAGCCCTACGTTCTTCAAATTCGAAAAATGAGTTAAAGTACTGCTTTTACCGTTAAAGCACCGCTTATTTTCCTCATATATATTTTTGAGTTCTTGATGAATAAAGCTCTACCAGTTCAAACAGCATCTATCAACAGAATTTCATGGGAAAAAACTTTAAAGATTATATTTTAAATTTAATAGGAAGTAGGGTGATGACCTTCTATATAAATGGTCCAGGGTTTGTCACTAAGAGCCGGCTTCCAGCATATTTCACCAGCTGAAAAAGAGCTTACCACTGGCTAAAATTGCTCTGGAAAACAGACATAGGGTAATTTTGAAGACGCAGTTGAGTAAAACGCCCGCTTAAGTGATAAAAAAAAGCCTGCTTATCTTTTCCTGTACTAGGCTTCGCTTACGAGAATAACTAAATAAAACAAAAGAAAGAGCTGCTATAAACATTGAGGCTCGCGATGGAATAGTTCTTTTTTTGTTCTTTTATTTCCTTAGCCGGGGCGCCAAGTATGAATATTAATATACCGACGTAAGACCAACGTAACTAAACATCTTACCCCCGTCCTTCCGAGCCCTGTGATGTTTATCACGGATTGCCACGTTTTTGAAGAAACTCTCGCCATCGCCTGGAAAAGGACAAGCTTCCAATCAGGAACTCTCAGGCACGCCACGTACTTCGACATTGTGTCGTCGCCAACTAGCTCTTCCACACTCCTCTTTACTCCCCTTTTTACAGCCATCTCTTCGACAATTTCATTGACGATGGCCTTCGCTTCTGGGTCGCCAAATGCGCACATGTTCGAAAGCACCATCGCCAAACTTACCCTGTTTCTTTCGCACACGTCATGCACATCCTTGATGACGCGACTGCTTCGCTGCTTCATCGCTTCATCAACAGCACCTTTTCTGGAGTATCCAAATCTTCCTTTTCGCTGATCTCCTTTAGATTTGGGGAAACATTCTTTTTTCAGCTCTTTGCGAGTTTCCACTGTTTGGGGTGTCATGGCCACAGATGATGTCTTGTTCGTTGGTGTCGTTGGCATTTCAAAGCATCGTGAAGCACGTGGTCGTTCTTTGTTTGCTTGGCCTTCATTTTCTTCGTCGATAGACATTTTACTGAGATCTACTGAGTTCAGCAAATCTCTCAGCTGCGAAATGAACTCAGAGCTTTCTGAAGAGGAACGGCGAAGCAGAGTGGTTATCAACCCAAACGAGGAACAGACAATTTCCGTTGCATTAGAGGACTTCTTGTTCGAGTAATGGTAGCGATCTAGCAGCCGAATGTGGGCACTGTCGATTCTTTGAAAATCGCTTGGAAAACTGGCAATAACAGGCGACCGCTTAAAGTATTGGATCCACAAACTTTCGAACTTAGAATGAACCAAGTCAATTGTGGACTTAATTCAGGGCTGATGACCAGAGTGAAGGGCGAAAAACCCTTCCTAGGTGCCATCTCTACTGCTACTGAATCACACGTTTGAAATACGAAACTGCAAACAAAAGATAGGCGGGCAAAAACCATGACATTCGAATATCGAAATAGTAACATTATCCAGCTGCTAACTCGAGAGTGTTGATAATTTAAGCTAGTCGGCCCATGACATATTTAATGAGATTAAATCAAATTAACTTCGGGATTATCACACCTGAAAAAGACGAGCCCAGCGGGCTTAATACTTACAGTGCAAAGCACTTGTGTCTTCTCATGATCCTGATTCCTTTGTTCTTCTTTTGGTATTACCGGTATTTTATCTGCAACACCCTTACGCGAGTAAATGGGGATGCATTGGCAGTAAATGTTGTCGACAAAATCGACAACAGCACTAAAGATGAGATTCGAGGTATAAAGGCGCCTGGTATTTCGTGCAAAGGATTAAAAACGTTGGATGAAACGAAAACAGGCGTAAAAGCTGCTTCGAAGACATCTATTAACAATACCAGACGGAAGGCTGATCAGGTAAGCGTCTCTTAGACAATTGAAGGCCGTTCCTTGAAACTGTAGTGCACTTATTCATTATTTAAATAAAGTAATTGAAATCGAGCCAAACTGAGGAAGCCAGATTTGAATAACTAACTCAAACACACGACTTATCAGATGAACTGAATTTTGCTACCGTGGCGAAAAAGTTAAGAATAAAAAATTCGAAAAGTGTTATTAGGATAATTTTGGCAAACTTACCGAAAAGCGTATGCATCAGAGAAGTTTTTGCAGTGAATATATCAAACAATGCTTTACTGATTCATTATACGTTTCACCTCTGTCAATGATGGATTGTATCGCAATCATTATATCACGTGTACATTGACATTATTAAACGGGTAAACTTTGAAGACAACACAAAACATTTGATTTAGTTGTGGTTAGTTTGTGAATGAAAGCAGAAATCGTGCGGATATGTGTGTGTGCAAGGCTATCGTAATCGTAACGTAGACCTCGGCTCAGTAAAATCTTGTTGATCTTCCTGTCAGATAGTTTTTTGTCAGTTGAAATGTACCTTTTGGCAAAAAGATATTATATTTTATGTTCAACCTTTGAATAAAATGGGGCTTACTAAAATAATATTATTCTTAGTAACACGGAGCTACATACCATTGTAAAATGTATTCAGTGAGCGTGACTGACATTTCCTTTGATAAATTTCTTATGTAAATGTACTTCAAAGCTGGATCAGATAGAGCGCCTGTTACATTTAACGTGGTAAGCTGTAATGTTGTTTTAGTGCCTTGGTAATCAGAGCCGATCATTGTGCTTCGACGATATCAAGAAAGGACTAGTAGTATTACTTTTGAATTTTCATGCGGGCTGGGTGCCTTTGCCAAAATTAACTCTCTTGACGCCGTAGATGTACTTGAAAATGCCTCTGGAGACCCGGAAATGTTATTGCCACCAGCTAACCAAGCGATTCTATGTTTAAATTGATTTTTAATACCCGAACTGTACTCGAGGAAGATTTCATACACTTCAACGCGTGGGGGGGTTTAGACAAGAGCGAATTTGTGAAGTGACGGATAACACAAAGGTATTCAGTTGCATGCTGTGCGGCAATTGTCACTCCGAATCTCTTTTGCATCAAGTCGGGTCAGGCCAACGGAAGTAAAGCGTACAGTTTATCCTATCAGTCTGCACGACTAAACTTGAGTGGTTAAGATTCAATATTTCCCTTCAGGGAAATACGTGACACATTTTCACGTACCATATCACAAATTGCGTCTAACTGCTGGTTATATAATTAACAAAGCAAACTAAAACCAACTGCAGGACTGCCATCTGTAGGAGAGTGAAGTTTTCGGCGGCATCTGAAACCGCATGTTTTTGAGAAAGTCGACTATAAAGTGCAGACAGCTCCATGTGTTACATTTGTGATGCATGTCTGACTAATTTGTGACTAGGGATCAACAGGCCGATTCGCTTTATGTGATAAATAAAGAATAATACATTCTGAAAGACTTGGGCACGCGTACATACTGGATTTCTCTTCGAGTGCTCAACTCGATAGCTCACGAGTTAGCGCAGCGAACGAGTGACGTATCGGTTTGATTACGATTATTTATTACTTACTATAATCACTTATTACTCACTACAATCACTTATTACTTACTACCTAGAAAAGCCGACATTATTTTAAATGAATGAGACAAATTAGGATTTGCAACCCGCGACGTAAAGTGCGTCGGCAGTAAGGCTCAAGGTCCAAGCACGTAACTTTGGTTTTTCTTTTAGTATTTTGGTTTTCTTCCGCCTCTAGGAAATCTTGATCGTCAGTGTCTGTCACCGATACGAGTTTTTAAGTGTTTTTAGCAGCTATAATCCGAAAAAAGTCTCTCCAAACGATCTTGGATTGAGAACGGTGAACGCTTTGCCATTCATTTATCAACCTGAAAGAGTAGCGTGAAAGGCGAGTGACATGTCAGGAGCTGATTGGCGATATGAAACTTGCGTAAACATTAAAGTTATTTTTAAACGATCATCAGCCTTATTAACCTATTTCCAAGAATAAGTCTTTTCAGTTTGACTGAGGGGGAATACGGCAGGCATTGTCAAAAGATGCCCACAAATAATTCTTATGTGTTCTTCTAGGTTCTTTCTACTCTATCAGAGGCAAAAATCGAAGACGAACGCAAAAGAAGCCTACTGCTGGATGAATTTCGCAAAGCCCAAGATTTTTTGAGTCAACTGAATGAGAATCGCTCATTGCCTTTGCTGCAGGTGAATATAACCGAAATTTTAGAGGAAATGAAGCAACATATCAGCCAACTCGAACAGAAGGAATACTATATTCTTGTTGCAGGTAAGTGATGATGGAGAATTTACTCAAAACAACCACATTAGATTTTTTTCCTGGCCTCCAGGCTTATGAAATTCCGCAACTGACAGAATATTGGCCCATTTCAGACAGGTTTATAGTATTGTTTCATCTTGGTCAGAAGGAAACTAGCATACCACGCTTGGCGGAAGGCACAAGGATATTAAGCTCGTCCTGTTTCTTTCTTCTTTAATATAACAGACTCTGACAGGACATTGCTAGAGTCCGCTAGAATCAGTCCGAGAGTGGTCAAAGAGAAGAGAAGCGAGAAAAATAAAGTTTTTGCAAGTAGAAAAGTTCCACTAAAAGCAAATATTCTTCTCTCAGTTTTCTTTGACCACTCTCTAACTGACTCTTATTAACTCTGATTCTCTAACTCTGATCTACCAACTGCTATTTCTATAGTACTTTCTTTAATATTAACTATCGATAGGCATGAGTGGAGGTGCCGGCCAACTAACCTTGAAGGATATTAAAAAACCCCTTTCACGAGACTCTCTCGAATAAACAAAAATGTAACTCATGCTTCCAGTCACACAAACAGTTTTAGAAAGTACATCTGGATGAAAGTATTTTTTGTTTATTTTTGTTTTTGTTTTTGTCTTGTTGTTTTAGGCGAGGCAAGTGCTGGAAAAAGCAGCCTGATAAATCTCAATCTGGGAGAGAGGCTTCTTCCATCTTCCTCACTTAGCACAACTTCCACGCTATGTGAATTGAAGTACGGCGAGGAAAGAAAAATTGTGGCGCACCTTAAAGACACAGATTCGAAAACAGGCCTAACATCGACCATATTTCTTGAGAATCCAACAGAATCTTCGGGGAAAAGCTATCTCCAGCAGATATCACCTTTTGTCCACGTGAAGGGTGCAGACCGTGGGAAAGGTACAATTTACAAAAAGGTTGAAATCTTCTGGCCTCATCAATTGTTGAAGGTAAGTATTCAGTTAACCGTTAAATGTCTTCTGTAAATCGAAACATTACGGAAATACTTAAAAGTATGTAATACCCTCCTTTGCCTAGGAACGTCAACTGAGCTAGCCACTAGTGTTGTCTCACAGTTCTTTCCCGTATAAAGTATTCCATAGGTTGACATGGAAAGTTGAACCCCCATCAGTAATCAAGATTTTGGTTTCTCCAATCAGCTATCATGAACATCGAGACCAAACTTGGAGGTTGTTGATTGACAACCTCGTTAGATGAGATGAACTGGCATATATGAACGGGCTGACATTCACTGCAGGATTAAAACTAATAAACTCAAAAAAAATGAAAATGACATGGATCCATAACCAGTCCTACTGTAAGGTATCCGCGGGTTTCGCCCATAACGAGTTTCGCCCAAGAAGCGTTTCGCCCATAACGAGAATGGTTTCGCCCATAACGAGTTTCGCCCAAGAAGCGTTTCGCCCATAACGAGAATGGTTTCGCCCAGGCATAAATTCGATTCGCCCAGACTGACAGTCAGTGATTATCCAGGCTAAGGGCCTCTTTAGACATATGCTTTAGATGAGCCCGGTAACCGGGCTTTTGTTTTCTGTTCATACTGTTCGTAATGGCGGACGTAGCGCGGGGCCTGGGAATACTAGCACGAAAACGAGGTCGGACAGGCCTCGATGCGTGGCGTTTATTTATTGCAGTATGGCGTCCTCCTCAAGTGGTCTACAAAACAACTCTTCAAATGCGAAATTGCGCACGTAAGATGACATTCCACGTGCTTCTGTCCTTGGTCGAAAGCCTGAAGAGCTAAAAACCGCAGAATTTCGATTGTGGGTTAGGTGCAGTGGTGATTTGTGCGAAGGTCTGAGAACGAAAGCAGAGCTTGTGAAACGAGTGCACGAGTACACCACAACGGGTAAAGACAGAAATGTTGTTGAAGAAGACCATTCTTATTACGCACGAGCCACTAAAAGATGGTGTGATTTCATAGTTTATACTAGTAAGGGCCTTTATGTCCAAAGGACACCATTTGACCCCATGTTTTAGGGACAAAACCGAAACATGAAACAAAAGTTGTTGTCTTACTATTTCACACATGATGGAAATTGATGGAAATTGTCAGGTGGTCAGTACCAACAGTTGTATGTTCTCAATATTTGAATTCTCAACAAGTTAACTCATACTTTTATTCCTATATTTGAATTTTCAACTCCTAAACACGTAATTCATTATCCTACACTTTCATTACAGCTTAGTTTCTTCTTAGTTTCTTCTTATTATTATTATTCTTCCTTTTCCTATATTCAAATTCTAAAAAACTTTAAAACTTTATTCTCTTAACTGACTAAAATCCCCCCTATCCTATTTAATTTCGAACTATTGGTCCATTTACATGGGAACAAGCCTTTAGAAGCTGAACTGTTGACTTTTGGTGGCAGGCGTACTGTTCCCAGTAGCTTAAAATTGTTGCTTGGACAGAGCGGTACTTTTTCTTTTGTAGTTTCGTTAATTTCTTTTCAGAAACTAACCTTATCTGTAGGGCCACAAGGCAGGCTTCCTTATGCAGTAGGTTTATCAGCATGTAGAGAGGCATCTGGGCTCTTCCTGAGGCACGTCTGTTTAGGCCGTTATGCCACCCTTCCACGTCGTTATTGGTGCGGATCAGCTGTTTGTATACACTCCAGCAGGAGGGAGGCCAGGTAGTGCTTTTAATCCATGTGCTGTCAACATACTCAACAAACTTCTGCAGGGGTTCAGTGGTGGCTTGCAGCTGAAGATCGGTAAACATTGGTGGTATTTCACATGGAGGCAGAAATGGTAAGGCCATTATCTTACGGAGGTACTTGAAGGTGCCATCATCCGATTGGTATGCTGTTTGAAGCCCAAGGTCTTGAATCTGTAATGTAATATAAAAAAAAATGGTAAGAAAATGGTCGCAGAGATTGGGCACTCCTCCCAACTTCAGCCTTATCCATCAAAGACAACTACCAATAAATATAGCATATTTTACTGACCTTTCTCCACAGAGCTTGTGTCCAATGGAATACACATCCTTTCACCGTCACGTCTGGTAGGACTTCACGGAGGCAGTTCCACATTGCTTTTTCAAAGTCAATCATGACCTGGTTAACCTTTGGGTCCTCTGGCAGAAGGTCTAGGATAGTCTTCATGACCTGAAACAGGTGTGAGTGAATGTTTAAAGCTTACAGTTAAAAACCCTCGAGTAAGGACCACTATTTTATGAACCACTTGAGCCCTAACGTTTGAAACTGGTTCTTATTTCCCCAAATCAATTATAATTGTTTACATGTTCTGGGAAATAAGAAATATTGACATCTTCAGGGATGGAAAATTAATTTTTACCGCACTCACCATTGAGGGAGTGCCTTTAATCAATGCAATAAAAAGGCTGTATCTTCTTTGGAGAAATGTAGTAGCCTTATCACTATAGTTTCCACACTTTGACTATTAATGCATATTAATTTTACCTTTCGATAATCCTTTTTCTTCTTGCCAGACATCAAGACAAAGACCAATGGGACCTGTTTCACGTTGTCCTCGCATCTAACATATGCATTGATGGTCCAGAGTTGGGTGAAAGGGTGGCGACACAGCTTGAAGGTACCATCAATAAACCAGGTCTTGGCTTTGCTGAGGAACTGAAGTTGTTTTTCGGTGGCAAAGACAAGATGGCGTCTATCTTTGACAGTCACATCTGCTTGAAAGAAGCCATCAGGAATGTGATCTTCTTCCAAACTAAAATCCAGGTCTACTGGGTCTTTGGGTCTGGAGTTTTGTCTAAGCCGGTTTGCAGCTTGTGCCAATAACTTTGGTTTTGAAAGGCCTGGACATGGTCCATCAAGTTTCTCAAGGAGGACCTATAAAAATGAAGAGGGGAAAAATTTCAATAAGGGGATTTACACATGGCACTGCTCAAACTGCATTTGCTAGAGCTGTCTCCTTTTTATTTCACACACTGTAGATAAATAGATATTTAATTTAAAGTACCTCATTAACAATAGCTGGTGCAGGTTTGAACAAATCTTTCATTGCTTCTGCCTTTACTGCAACCATGATCTCTACAGCAGTGACTGCCCCTGCAGCTGGCTGATGGTTGTGACTGGTGCTGTTGGATTGGAAACTACTGCCGCGTTCTATCACCAATGCCTTGCAGGGATTTACTTTGGGCCTCACCGAACACTGCCAGTAAACGACGTTCACTCCTCGTGACTTGATATTGTATGTGTATCCATTGCTGTCTATCAGTTTCACTTTGCCCCGCTTCGAGCCCTGCTCCACTATCTTGTAGGTTACTGGGAATTCACCAACTGGACACTCATGGATAGTGGGGTCCTCGATCGAGTCTTCAAAATGGTCTAGTGTCACATCTGAAATTAAAGTAACACAGAGAAGTCAATAACTTTTCATTTAACTTGTCTGTTATATTCCACAAACGAAACAAACTTGAATTTATGAACTGCACATAGCTGAATTGTCTGAAAACCAAGTATTTCTTCCATTTTAAATTCCTTTCAAAATTGTGACTGTCTGCATTATTTTACAAGGTTTAGACATGCAAAAAAATATTCTTATAATATTTATTTATTCATTTATTTATTTATTGACACAATACATGTCAACGAAATAAAACTTTACTTACCAACAGTGCTCCTTTCTTCAATTTGCGGAGTGGGGTCCTCTGTTGGGTTCTCAGTTTGGTCTAATGTCTCATCTGAAATTAAAGTAACACAGAGAGGTCACTAACTATTCATTTAACTTGTCTCTGTGAAAATGATGACATGAGTAATGTTTTTTGTGGTTTCTCTTAAGTGTCATCAAAACCATAAAATCTAAAGTTTAGACATTCCAAAAAAATTGTATAATATTTATTTATTTATTTATGTCATAATTTACCCACAATACATGTCAAGGAAATAAAATTTTACTTACCAACAGTGCTCCTTTCTTCGACAAAAGATTTGCAACGAAGATATGTTCCACGCGCAAGTGTTTTCAAAAGCGTTTAATTTAATTCTCGAGAAGAAAAGTGATGCAAAAAAATCATAGCAATGCTTTTACGACAAACGGACGTCTCTGCAGTATTTCGTGCGCGAATTACCTTAACAATCCCCGCTCCACAGTGGAAGCTGTAATTGACTTGTTCGTTTCAACAGTAACTTGTTCGTTTCAAAATTTCATGATCTCAGGTCAAGTCACTTTTCTTCATTCTGTGCATACAAACGTTTATAAGGTTGACGTTTTCCGAGTGAGAGTGTAGAAGTTTTACTTATGGGCGAAACCTTTATTGTTCTGGGCGAAACCATTCTCGTTCTGGGCGAAACGATATGGGCGAAACTCGTTATGGGCGAAACCCGCTATAACCTACTGTAAATATCAACCATTTTGAGTGAATAAAAAAATTGGTTCAATCTCCAATTGCAGTTGATAGTTTTCTAGACCTAAATTATGCCAAAGAGAACAATTCGAACAATCTAGATGATTGTCTATTGTAGATAATTATTCAGCGTTAATTTCTGTGTTTTAGAAAGGTGTCACTATCATTGATAGTCCTGGTGTTGGAGAATCGGAAGTCATGGACGAAGTAGTGACAGAGTATCTTCCTCAAGCCTTTGGATTTATTTATGTCATCAACAGCGCAAACGCTGGAGGGGTTCAGAAAGACAGGGTAAGTAGCTAGTGCAATGTGGATAGCAGTGAAATTAAAATTTTAGAAAAGAAAAAATAGTATTACAAAGGACGAATCAAAGTGATGATTAAACTTTTAAAGTTGACTATTTTTTTAAGTACTTTGTAGCCATTTTGTGTTAATTGACAACTTTTTGATTAATACAAAGCTTGTATCTTTGCTGAGCGAACTGGGCAAGATATCGCGTGAAAGACAAGAAGAGTTTCCCTCCAAATGTGCTTTGTTTGTATGCAACAAATGGGACCAGATTCCAGAGGACGAAGCCGACGATGTTAAGGCACACATAAAGACCAAGTTAAAAGAGTGGTGGCCTGATCTTATTCCTGAATCCCAGATCACCTACATATCTGTAAAAAATGCTCTCGGTGCTCAGAGCCGTGGAAAGATTAAAACCGACTTCATCACCCTGATGAATGGGATCCGTATTTTTGTTCTAAAATGCATTGAGCAAAGGTTGGGAATTCACTGGAGGTAAGTTCATGCCTTCTTTTGATTATGGAATTAGGTGTTATAGTTTTATTGTGGTTATAACTGTTAAACAAAGTCAAATGATTAAAAAAGAGACAGAAACTTTAGATTAGTAACATAAGAAGAACTTTGAATTAATTTTTTATATCACGGTCATCCAAACTCCAACACTAATGGGCAAACTCTTTTCGCGGTCCGAGTTTTAAATCGTATATGTTAAGTAACTTAAAGGATTAAAACGAGCCAGGTCATTTACAATGGGAAATGATCATTACGTTGCTTATTTAGTGATTTGCTGATTATTGCTTTGTATGTACCTAGTTCGTTCTAAAACTACGAGTTATAAAAATACAATCAGAGTTATAATTCTCTTTTCATTTCCTTATTTCCTTACAGATGGCTTGATTTTGTATTTTACCAACTAATTTGTCAAACAAAGATGGTTACGATGAACGCCACTAGAGATCATAAGAAAGTCAACAAGAACATGACCACCATACTTTATCGTCTGGAAGTGCTTGAGAGACAACAAACCCAACTTATTGATAGGATTCGCATAGATATGACAGCCCAAGCCAACGAGGTCGAAACAAAGCTCTGCGAATTTCTCAATTCAGAGGATTTGGGAACACAATTCATCTATCGATTTTACGGATCTGCTCCATCCGTAAGTGAGCTGGACGAAGAGCTGCAAGTAATTTTGCAACAGTGGGAAGATAAAAATCACGTATTTGCAAATGCTTTTAGCTTGCCTCTTCAACGATTTTTGGAGCAACACAATTTAGCAAAAAATGCAAATCCTGAATCTTCAACGTGACATCTCGGAAGGCGAAGTCTCAATGGCCACACCAATTTACCCACACTGTAAGTTTAGCGCTTCCGTGGTCTTCATTTTTGATCTCTTTGCTGAGAGGCTTGGAATATTCAGGAGTATCTCCGGATCCTTGGGTGGACTCGACACCATTATGCCTATGATGAAGAATTTTACTTCTTCTGTTTGGATGAGAAAGAGCTTTCTTCAGTGTGTTATAAATGGAGATGCAGCTAAGTCTATGGTAAATAAAATGCTTAAAAAGCATCTGAAACGTTTGGAACAAATTGGAAATCAAGTTCCACAGATGATTCAGGCCAACAAAAAGTTATGTGAAGAACTCCGTGACAACAAGCAATCACACCAAAAGATTATAGAACTGTACGAGCCAATTAGGAACTCTGCTTCTGCCATAAGAGGACACCTAGCTGCATTTGGGCTGAGAGAGGTTTGTGCTCACTGCAACGAGGAGTTGCAGTGGAAGGATGATGCATCTGCCTTTCTTGGGTGTGGTATGTTTGCCTCTGTGTACAAAGGGAAGATGAGAGACATGGATTCGAGCAAAAAGTAGCTGTGAAGGTTTGCCGCAAACCTCTAGACGTCGAAAATGCAAGTCTCGTAGTTGAAGAAATGACCCTTTTGAGGTGAGAAAAAATTCCCCCATTTCCATCTCAATATTCTAATTTTCCCCCAAATTATAATGCCGCCTATCTGGAGTAGGACTTGAGGAAAAATTGAGCATCAACCGTTTGGCTCTTTTTTAATCCTATAATTGAAACAATTGATTGAAATCTTACGCAGCAAGTGCGCCATGATTTCGGAGACTTTCCAATGTATTTGTAGAAACAGAAAGTTTGAATCAAAGGAATTGCGATAAGTGCTGTTGACGTTCATTCATATAGTGAACTGTTATGCTTACTTTTGAAAAGAACCCTTGTTTGGTGGATTACTTCTAAAGGTCTACTCTTTACATTAGGCGTGTCAGAATTTTTAAATTATAAATTAACTTTTTAAGCATAAATTAACTTTTTGGGAGCTTGACTTGCTGCTTTTCGTCGATACCATTTTTTTACCGTAATTGGCAGTAATGTCGCAATCTGATAGGCCAGTTTGTTGTTGTTGATAAGAGTGCAGACCAAGCTAAACTGCTGTCGACTAGTTAACTCTCTCTCAATGTACATACTCTACTGTGTGTTGTTTCGTACGGCCAACAAAGCATTTTCTCCCGGCACCATAGTTCATGCGTGATATTTTCCTTTGACAGAAAATTAGATCACCCTCATATTGTCAAGTTTTTTGGGACTGCACTCTTGAAAAAAGAGGACGGGTTAAGGTTGATCTTTGTGATGGAAAGGTGCACAGAAAGCCTCAAAGATCACATCTTCAAGCACCGAGAATCTGTTCCGGGTCTATCCGGAAAAACAGCGGACCTTAGAGTTTGTCGTTGGGCGAAAGAAATCACCGCTGGTCTTCACTTTATGCACGAAGTAGGCATTATCCACAGAGACCTAAAGCTAGAAAACATCTTGGTAGGTACTTACAGCGATCTTGATATTTTTATCGCATCTTGCAAGTCAATGGAATTGATTAGTCATTTAAAATTATAGTTTTACTTTTCAATCATGGGCATCCAAACTTCTAGAATTTCTGCACAAATCTCAAACCCAACTGAATCACAGCGGAAAATGTCGCTTCTTGGGTGACACTGCACTTAACCCGTAAAGTTCATTTCCCGAACAAATAATAGAGAATGATAGTGACTGAAGTATTATGAAATGTAATTGTCAAACAATTGATAAGCGAGATACAAGCCATTTTACTGTACATTGAGTTTTCGTCTTCACAAAATTACGAACCGAAACTTCTCTCAATTACGAATGCGGGAAAACATTTAGTGATTTCCAATCCAATAATAAATATACTTATCACATAAACTGCGGTGTTATACAAGGGTTTCCGGCCCTAAGAAAAGCCGTAACAGCACACGTGAAAAAATATCTATTTTTTCACGTGTTTTAATATAGCCAATCAGCTGCTCACACATCACTCGGCTTTGGCGCCATCCGGTCAGGTTGATAAATGAACAGCAAAGCCTTCACGACTCTCAATACAAGGTAGTTTGTAGGAACTTCCTCGGATTTTGACGGCTAGCTCTAAAAAATCCGTATCGCTGACAGACAATGAGGTTCAAACTTTCCTAGAAGGGGAAAAAAACCAATATACGAAAAGAAAAACCGAAAGTTACGTATTCAGTGGCTTTGATGTTGGCATTTCTCGCGGCTGAGAATAAAAATTGACAACTGGAAGCTTTGCCACTGGCCGATCTTGGCCGTTTACCTTAAAGACTTCTTCTTTCGGTAAGGAAGAAGTCAACAAATGAGAATTTTGTAATTGAAAATTACGACTATTTCTGTTTTTGTAATCATGATTCGACGATTTCTCCGTCTTGCGAGTTAGCGCCAACGCACTGAACGGTTTTTTATTCGGGGATTGTTGATTCGTTTATTTTCATTCATTAATGAAGTCGGCTTTTCTTGTCAGTAAAGGGCTATTGTGTTTATATGGTAAACAAAATAATACATGGCTGCTTGTATATATGCAATTTCTCTTCTCGTGTCCAACTCGACATCTCACTCGTTCGCTGCACTCACTCGTGAGCTATCGAGTTAAACACTCGAGGAGAAATTCTATTTCCACGCGCGCCCGTGTATTATTCTCTATCTGTCTTTGTTTTTATTTAAGCTGTCGGAAGAGGATTCCGTGAGAATAGGTGATGTCGGCGTTTCTAAGGAAGCAAGTAAAGTCAGCGGTACTGTTAAGGGATCTTTTTCGTACATGGCACCTGAGGTGTTCCATTCTAAACTATATGATTTCAAAGCAGACATCTACAGTTTTGGAATAATGCTTTGGGAGATGTGGTTTGGACGACGAGCATTTGCTGAAGTTGAAGCGTTAAACAATCAACATTTCTTTAGCTTGGTGGATCATGGGCGTCGTCCGAAAGATATCATGGAATTGAAAAAGCCTCCACGCCGCTGGAAAGAACTCATGGAAAGATGCTGGGATAGAGACCCAGAAAAACGTCCCACAGCTGACAATTGTGAGCGAGAAATGACCGAAATCTGCAGTGGATGGACTGGTCATTAGGAAGAACCATGTTCCAAATTATACATAAAGGCTACCGTCAATAATTGCTCATATACTTTGCTTATATCACAAGCAAGCAGACAAGTTTAATTAGCATTTTCGAAAATCTGTCTTTTTTTAATTTCACATCAAAGGGTGCCAATGGCTAGGACCATTCGTATCACTAACACAATACCATATTGTTACAACACAATTTTGTTACCATTTTTGGTCTACAAATTAATTTTTACCTCGACCGCCCGCTTAACTAAGATTACGTTTTGTTCCTCGTTGCGGAATCAATAAAAAGAAGGCTGTGGCATGGCTGAACATTACACAACAGCTTGGTATGTCTTTGGCCAAGATTCTGGAAAGAGTTAACAGTTCTTCCTTGGAGATATAAGCAGGTGTTTGTGGAAAGAGTTACAGTTTACAGTTTAAGATGAGTTTCAATCATCTGAACTGATGGTACCAGGTAATTTCTTTGTACAACTATGGAACCATAGTAGTTTTACTCAGGGAAGCAACAATTAAACTGCATTTCATTTCAGTTGGATTTAGTTTTGAATGGTGAGATTTTAATTCGGATAAATTTCAAATTCGCGAGTAAACGTGACTCATGCCATCGTCATGCAGATTGATTTGTTGTATTATTGACTTTGTTTCTTCCCTACACGCTACATGGAAATCCGTCATCAATTTAAAGTGGCTCCATAGCGTTGTTGGTTTGATTATGACATATGCACTGGCGTTCTTTTCATAGATAATTATTATGTGCTTTCTGCCTTCAAGATCACTAAAAGTGACCAAAATGTAATAAACAAGATTCAGACTGTTATTTTCTGTAGTTGATATCAACATCAACATGAACATAAACAGGTTTTCGTTCTTGAGGTAAAACAAAATAAATGAAGGCGCTCGGCTCCAATTACTTCGGTGACATTTTCCACAATTTCACAGTAAGTGACACTTTTTCCCGTTAATAATTGTGAAATTGAAATAAGAGAGGTTAAACGAGCAGATTTTTCGCTTTTTTTCATTTTTCGTTTTCCCATTCTAACTTGTTCATGACATTTTTCTAATTAATTGGCAACATAAAGGGCATAAATATGTTAAACGTTCTGCCAAATTTTCGGTAATTCAATCATAAGAAACGCGATAAATCTTATTCGGAAGATTTCTTTTCTTTTTAATCCCAAAATATTTCGTTATCGAATAGAACTTAGCCAAGATCGATCGGTATTTGAGCATGGGTATACTTCCGAATCTTGCGCAGTCAAAAACTCTATGGAGCTTCCTTAAATCGAATCACAATAGTACTGTTACAATGCTGAAAGTAAACACCAGAGCGGGAAAACGAAACCTTTAGAAAGTTAATCTGCGTGAAAAATCGCTATCGAAAGTTTTCTATGCCTTATTAATTTGTTCGGAGCGATTCTAGAAAAATAACATGTAAATGCAGTTTGACTTACATGTTTGTAAGTTCATTATTCTACGCAGAAGTGTCACCTCCAGCTGGAGGGTTTGCTTTTACGGGCTGCTATCTTTTTTTTCATTGCTTTAACTTGAACATAGATTTTGTTTTAGAATGTACGTACCTCAAGTATATGTATACCAATTTTTTGTGGAGTAAAAGCCCACCCAAGGCTTGATTCAGATATAAATTGTCCTGTTGTATGTATGCATATAACTTTGTTTGTAAAGAAATAGTCGGCGCTGTTTATTCGGCTCTCCTAAATCTAAATGTAACATTTTGTATCGGATATCCCTCCTGATTTAAAAAAAGTGATGTGTACATTCTGATAAAATTATTTACCTTCGAGAACAAGTCCACCATCTGAAGCATTTTTCTCGATAAGGAGTTACTCGTGTTTTTGTTGCTCGTATTGCAGCTATCAGAGGAGAACTCAAGAAAAAAATACTGATGTCGATGTTTCAAAAGAGGAGCAGGATTTCACGGTTGCTCTCGGGGATCCTTGTCTACATGTCACCGGAGGTATTTCAGTCGAAATTAGACGACGGGATCGCAGGTATTTCATGATAAGTCTGGTATTGGCGATTAGCCTTCGGTGACATGCGCTCACAATCTATGGAGAGCATGATAGTCCTATAGGTGATAGGCACTATCCAAAGGAGTTACAGAGCTTCAAAATTCCCCCAAAATGTTGGAGTTTACGTCTAGAAAGATGCAGGAAGGAGCCCCCGACCACAGACAAGAAGCGTGAATATTAGATAATGACCAAATACTTAATGTTTATAGGCCATCAACAGCAACCTCTTTAGAACCTCATTGTGTACTCGTTCAATTAAAAGTTTAAGTGTTTTGATCTAGTGCCTAGTTCATTTCATCTTTTTAGTTCATTTACATGGCCACAAGGTTAGTACGGAAAAGACAATCTAAGATCGTAAGTTGGGCTACAGGTAAACGCGCTGTTATAAGTGTTGACCACTCACGGTGCGCGGTGGTTCTAAAAGAGATACAGAGGTACCATGGTCCTGGTTTGTGGGCGTGGCGTAAAATTTTTTTACCCCTGAGAGGCACCAATTCTACAACAACACACTGTCACATATTTTTGGTGCAATACCCTGACAGGTATCACAGAGGCTGCTGCTGTGGACCTTTTGAGGCTGAACAGCCCAAGAGGTACTAAACCCGCCCTTTTTAACCTCTAAAAGCTATGATGAGCACCTCAGTCCCTTTCTAACAAAGCGTAGTCAAAACGGGTCAATTTTTCGGTGTTTGTTCAAGCGTGAAATATTCAACTTTGTCGAAACAACCTGTCGCGCTTCATCATTTAGAGTTATGGAAAATCTGTACTGTCAAGCACCGACGTTAATTTGAACGCGTGAGAAGGCTATACAAACGACATTAAACAGGATTTGGTGGAAAATAAATCTTGATTAAAATAGTATGTACGTGCAGAAACATAAACACGGTAAATTGACGGTATGGACACAAAATTGCATGTTTCACGCTTGAACAAATATGTAAAAGCTGAATACTGTAAACAAAAATACTCCCTGTAGCACGTTTTAAATTTCGAAACTTTTTTTACTTGTTAACGTTTCCAGAAAACTTTTAAAACAGCAGCCGGCTGTTATTTTGAACCCAAGATAATAAGATAATACCGGAAAACGATCAAGATCAGAGTATTCAATCATGATTACTTACAAGGCTGATAACTGACTTATCTTTCAGGCTGATAAAAGAAATGATGATTGAGTGACACTGCCATCTGCCAAAAAAATTATTACGTTTCTAAAGATTCCCGCTTTCAAAGATTCCCCATTTTGAAGATTCCCGCTCTTAGAGACTCCCCGTTTTAAAGATTCCCGCTTTTAAAGATTTTCCGTTTTAAAGATTCCCGCTTTTAAAGATTCCCCGCTTTAAAGATTCCCGCTTTTGAAGATTTCCGCTTTTATAGATTCTAGTGAGACCTATTACGTGTCTGCGGTATTCCTCATTGCACGTGACTGAGCTTTGTGGAGAAACCCGAGGGTAAACCTATACTCCGACTAAAAAGTATACTAGTCTACACTGGCTCCTTTTCAACTTTCTATTCCTGGATATAACAGAAATTTCATAAGTTTACAGGCTTTATAAAAGCAAGTTATAATATCCAAGACATGATCCATGACATCCCGTTGTGTGACACTCTATACAAACAAAGAGCTCACTTACTGATTTTAAAAATGTTAATTGTTTGTCGCGATAATCTTGCAAGCGTATCGCGTGATACTTTTTTTCCTGATTTAGAAATTAAGCTAAGGGTTTGATGACAGTTGAGTTACTTAAAATTTTGGTGTATAATTAATTAAGCGTAGCACGGTAATGACAGACTTGTAGCAAGAATGTTAAGATTGCGCACGGCAGGAGTGATATAGAAAATCAATAATGGTCTGAAACAGTAAGGTAAGGAATTGTCAAGGGAAATTGTGCGCGTGTGTTTGGGTTGGAACATCTTGTTACTTTGGTGATGCGTGCGCGCACAAAGGAAATAGCTTGGGATTTTTGAGTAAATCATGAATAAGTGATATATCAGTCTTGGTTTTACGTAGTGTAGGCGTGCATTTCCGTTGTAAAAGCATATAAATAGAGTCACTGTCTTGTAGCTGAACGTCGAGAACGATTGAATGTAGAAAGTTCCAATATTGTATGGATCGTAAATAAACGCAGGAAATCGGAAAGATACATTCCTATTGATTGTCGAACCAGCGCTCCGTAGAAATTCTCTTTAACGCAATGGAGAATTTTGCAACATTGTTTAACCAAAACATCAACACATAGAGGTGACGAACTGAGTGCCTGTTTCTGCTAAGTGCTCGTCGTGTGGTTGTCAGAGGAATTTATATCGATCAGCAGATTACACGAAAATAAAAGTTTTCCTATTTCTTCAAAATCAAAAACCTAACCAATATCAGGAATCTTTGAATGACGTATATCCTTCACCTTTACATTACCGACTGAAAATTTATCTATCCTTTTTTAATGCTGTCGAGAAGCTTTGTCGAAATGATACGCAGTAGGTACAGCGCTGTTTCTTAAGATCGCAAGTATTCTCTAGGTCAATTACTCTAGCTCACCCTAAAGTTTAATTCACTGAATAAAGATATCATTAATGACTAACAAAGTTGATTAGGTTAAAACAGAGTGTAACAGTGTAGGAT